ATATATATATTCATGTATGTGTTACAAACACATCTGTGTGAGTGTAAACTGTAAACTGTATAAATATTTTAACATAACCTTCACATGTATGTACACGATTTATCATTATCAACTTTTATAATATATGTACGTATGTATTTATCATGCAGACATCGATACATCGATAATGATGCTCATACTTCCTGATACTCAGATTTCCGAGTGTAAAATCGTCACGGCCTATACTCACCATGAAATGGAATTTTCACCAGGCTAGCTAGCTAGCTACCTACGTAAACCTACGTGGCTAGCTGGCTAGGTGGCGCGTAGGCGCTTCCGTAGTTTTCTCTTATATGAAAATCAAGTGTTGAACTTCGATATGAATGTAGGCTGGAGCAATATTGAAGTAAGTAAATCACTGTTCTTCACATACTTTTGATTTTTATACGTTATCAATGAGTTTCATTCAGAAAAATCATAACGTTTTTACATGTGAGACACCTCCTTTATTAATACTAAAGAAAAACTACTGCCAATGATTTAGCAGAAAGCATTATTAAAATTTAATCTTCAACTTTTTGTTAAAAAAAATGTGATATTCTGGGTATTTTTTTTTTAATTATTGCAATATTTAATTATAATTTTCAACTACAGGATTTTTATTGATTTTCATCGTAGGAAACAATTTCTGGTTAGTTAAAAATAAATATCATGATAAAATATTTGTAAACGTCATGGACTAAAAGTATAGATAACAAGTTGTTATGGACAAATACTGATTTTTTGTTGTTCGAAACGAAACAAGAAAATTTAATCCCTTTATAAAGTAGAATCCTGTTATCTATTTTTAGGTAGCAATGGAAATAAAGAAAAAGAAATATTTCAGGCGATGACTAACTAACAGTATTTATCAGGATAAAGAGGCTGGGTTACTAATAATTAATTTTTTCATACTAGAATTTTGTCCACAAAACGAAATTATGTTTCTTTTATAATAATTTAGAATAAAAACTAATGTTTTTTTAGGACTTATGGTATTCAATAATTTTTTTAAATCAAACCGTTTTAAATATTGAAAAATATTCGAAAGAACCTCGTAAAAATACCCATAACATTATATTACATTTTATATTCATGGTCTGGTATAATCTTTACAACATTTGAAGGTCTGGATCATTAAAAATAATCAAAAATAAAATTTTAGTACCAACAAACAAAAATTGTATCATTTAGGCACTGAAGTTTTACCTTGCATAATGGTGACGAGAACTACTATTAGATCAACTATTTAAAATAATTTAATTTTAACGTGAAATTGTTGAAAATGTTTCTTATCTAAAATTATGTATCAAACATTCAATAAAATAATTTCAACAATTGATTTAATGAATATTAATTTACTTAAGACTATACATTAAACGTTAATTGACTTAATACTTAATTTTTATAGTTTAACGGCCACGTGAAATGGACAGCCCTATGGTCTTGCTACGCTTCTTACAATTTGAGTTTGACTAATTTGCAAACGAAAATTGTCTTTGACATTGATTTCAGAAATTATGTAGTTAAATTGAGATATGTTAAAATTCATAGTTAAGCGTGAGATTTATTTATTTTTAACTACTTTTCTACTTTTTTTGATATATAAAAATATACTAAATCATTTTTTTACAGAGAAACCAGTAGACATATAAATACTGAATCTTGCTCCTATACTAAGGATGCTGCTACGTTACAAGGAAACGATTTTATGGAAAATGTAAGGATCAAAATTTTACAAACAATGGAAAGAAAAATGATGGAAACAATTAAAAATATAATTTGTAATGCGAATACGTTCCCCACTGAACTAGGGAAAAAAAAGATTATATTTAACTAGCAGCCTCCCGTCTCGGCTTCGCCCGAGACTTACTAAATAAAACACCGTAGTGTGTTGACATGTAATGTGAAACATTTTTAGTTAGAAATTTTACACATATTCCTGATACATCTCAGAACAAAAATCTTCTTATTAAAAACATATTTTTTCGGAATCCATATAGTTTATTTGGTTAAATAATGAGGTGTAAGAATTCAAAAAAATTATTATGCTGAAAAGTACCGTGCGTTCTTTATGCCATAAAATAATCGGTGGCCATAAGAAGCCGTTGATTTACAGTTTCTCCCGTGTAATTCACGAAAACGGCTATTTTTTAAAGCTGTTAAGATTTTAAACCCCCAAAAAATATGTATTGAAAAAAGAGTTTTTTCTCTTATCTCACAACTTTATTACCAGAACAACAAAGTCCTGGACCTTAAGCCCTACATTTTTTATTGCTACAAAAACACAAATACATTTTCTACTTATTTAAAAATCTGAATTAGGATCTTCAAAGATTTCAGAGATTGCTGTGAGGGTACAATGAAAAGCTGATCTCTCACGTAATGGACTCTTTAGTTGTCGATTTTGACGCTGCTGTTCCAATCTCGATAAATTTTCTGCGTCAGTTTCTTGACGCCTAAGTAAAATTGTATTTATTAGATACACTTGAAGTTTTTCTTCCAATTCACCCTCTTGCGACTTTTGGCATGCTTAAAATTTGTGTGACCCCTAAAGGCTGTTTTCTGTCAACTTTGTTAAGTTCTAATATATTTGTTGGCAAGGTAGTTCGACGTCCGATGGCCCTAAAAAAGACCGGTGAGCTTCTTAAGTTAACTCTTTCTTGACTGCAGTTAACAGCAATTGTGACTGCCTGGATACCTCAGGGTGATCTTCTCTGGCTTGCTGTTGAAGACCCAGACTGATTGGGAGAAAAATTACAAAGTCCGAAGCTTTGGGGCTAGTTGTAGTGCTCTTTCCCAACGTCTCCCGGTATAACGTCGAAGACGTTGGTGTCTAAAGCACCTTTTTTATTTGCAGATTCAGTTGTTTTGGTGATCTTAGATGGGGAGATTGGTTAGTGATACTTGTCCAGTGGAGGCTGTCCCGTTGGCTCAAGTTTTTTTTCCTTCATAGCTGTTATAGGTTTGCCCAACGCAGACCTTGGAGAGGATCAGTGATTCCTGGTTGAATGCTTAGAGTCGAGAGGGTAGTATAGGGTCGTCGGTCACCGGGTTTTCCAGCCTTGCGAAGAACAACTCCGCAGGTGACGTCTGCTAGTGAATGGCTGACTTGGTTTAATAGTGCCCGTCTTTAGTTAATATAGTCTTTTAGTCGACGAATCGCTTCCGGAAATGGTAATAAAAATGTATTTGTTGGCAAGGTAGTTTACACTTAGGTGGATCCTAAAAAGAACCGATGAAATTGATGGTTAAGTAGGGAACGTAAATACTTATAATGGCCCTAAAAAGCGCCAGTGGTGAAACTTCCAGGCTATTCTTATTCCTGATGATGAAGAGCTGGCTACGGTTGCTTGATTCTTACCCTGGGAGTCTCGATGTACGGAGACTGTGATGGAGGAAGGTACGCTGCTGACCAAAGAATATCTCGTCTCGGGTCGTTCCCCGGATAACCAACCGCTCATCGTTAGACGGGAACATGTGGGTAAGCGCATTGGGGACGCGACGTCCAAGAAGGTAGCCATTGTGGCTTCCCGTGCCCCTCAGGGCTGTTTAACCTTGCTTACATTTGAAGCCACAAATTCTCTAACTGCACCAGGTGAGATGGTGGGACTGCCACACAACTCTGATGAGTTTAACCAGATTGTGCTCTGGCTACGTGTGTATCCTAGTATTGTGGCAGAGATGGCATTGGTTGGAATTAGATTTTTTTTTTTGATCGCACTCATCGAGTTTCAGGGTAAGTGGACACCTGGGTCCCTTTCTCCTTAGAGAAGAGTGTCATCCGTAACCGGGATACCCAGCTGCAAGGCTATCATAAGCATTCTCAATGCAGCTCGTTGAGTTGCCGAAACTCGACTACAACACTATGGAGACGCTACAGCCTATTATAACCACACTTATTTAATTATGTTGCAGGTAGCTTCGATTTTATGTCGACGCCATCTACCGGATTTTACTGAACTAAAGAGAAAAGTTGGAATATTTTTGCAAAACTTTGAGCTCATTTATTGCTATTGTTATTAAATTTTTTAAGATAAAAAATATTCTAAAACCATCTAGGAAGTATTATGAATCAGTGTGCAAAATTTCAACAAAATCGGTTCAGTAGTTTTCGCGGTTAGCGATTACAACGGTTTTAGCGCTTTTGCTTCATATATTAATAAGATAATGTTGACTGGAAATTTCATGATACAAATAAATTTAAAATTATTAATATGTAGCGTTGTGTATTATAGCTATGGCTTATTCGATAAATTAAAAAAATTTTCTAATTTCTAATTTCTGTAATTTGTACTATTAAAAATATCAAATTGTTATTGCATTGATATGTAATGAAAATGCAATGGTGTCAACAAAAGATTATATTTGTTCGTCAGTATCCATAATTGGCTCTGATTAAGGTAAATACTATAAAAATGCGCATACTATTATTAATTTAGAGAATCCTTGGGTAGTAACAATCTTATTATACCAGTTTTAGCTGTAGCATTTAGCTTTTAACTTTTATTAAGTCAATCATTCGTATCAGTTAATGAATTTATAGGTTACGTATCTCCTCGCCATGAAATGGATTACTTTTGCGGTGGTTCAATAATCAGCATTGACCATATTGTAACTGCTGCTAGTTGCATCATTAACAAACTTAACAAATTTATTAAACACGATGTTACAATCGCACAAATAAACTCGATAAACAACTCTGGTACGAAAATTCTGGGACAAGTTGAGAAGATGTACATTCCTAGTGATTACACTCCTGGTAAAAATGATATTTCAGTTCTCAAGGTGAGAAAAAATACTATAGTTTATTGCCCTTATCTTATTAAAATATTTTCATTTCCAGTTAAAAGATAGCTTGAGACAACAACGGAATCAAACGTTAAGGAAATTGGATTTTGCTTTAAATATGCAAGTTTACTATGACATTGTTAAAAAAGTATGCCATCCCAGGAATGTTTTATCAAACGTAGGTGGAAAAAAAAATTTTTAACCCGAGAAACCATTGTTATAATGTTAATATTCATTTTAAAGTGTAGATTTGTTTAAAAACTTTTTTCGTGGTGATTGTCCAGACTATACACATATTAAGACAATGGTGGTATTAGATTAACGCTTTAGATCATAGAATACTTGTTTTTATTTTAAAGTATGGATTTAATTGATCAGAATGCAATATAAATTATTTTTAATACCTTAAAATTTGTTCTAATCTGCACCACCAAAAAAAAGATTATGATTGTAGTTAAAGGCTAAGTTATTTTTAATTAAGAGAAGATTATTAATGGAAGGCTTTATTCATACAATTTTACAGTAGAAATTTCAATGATAATTATTATTGAAAACACGAACATTTATGATGTTGAATGACATGGCCTCGAAAAAAATACTCCCGACTTTAATATCGAAGAGTGTTATAATAGGCCAAATACAGTTTCCTTATTTTTTAAAACATAATTAATATTTTTTTAATACAATTAACAAATTTATCAATTTAACTGCACCTGCAGCACATAGTTTTTATTTAGTTTAGTGTTAGTATTTTTACAGAATTCAAAATACATATTCTTGATGATTGTCTCTAGATGGATGTAAACAGAATTTTCAACATAACTATTTTGTCTACTAATCTTCTAACCCAAATTCTTATTTGCAGTGTGACTATATTTTTTTTCTTTAGAAGCTGGAATCAAGGGGTTTAAAAAAGCTATAGTGCACCAATTTTAAAAACTTTATTTCATCCTAATAAAACACACTTGACCCGTCTAAGTTGTTGCAAAATTTAACAGAGCATATTATTTCTTTAATTGATTTTTTTGGTTCTTGGTCACAATTTAAATGCAAGCGTATTTTTAAGGGACCAAAATAGCACTTTGTGTCCTCAGTAATTAAAACAATATTTGGGATCGACATAAAGGACATCATATCATCGGCATATGTTTCAATCTAACGTATTTATCATCAAACAACCTTGATAGTAGTAAACATATATTTTTTTCGTATGTTATACTAAGTACATAAAATTAATATAAAAATTATAAAACAGGTTATTTCACTTATATTAATTTATTCAAACGTCAAGAAATTTGATCCTACTCGTAAAGCTATTGACTATTAGATCCGTTACTATTTCTGAGAAAGACCTTTAAATAATTAATTCAAACGTACATGGTAGAAAAAAATGTTACAAAAACAAAAAAATTACNTTACAAGACATTGTTATCTAAAGCAAAAAATTTTAAAAACATCCGTTAAAACAATATTACAGTATTTGAACTAGAACAACAAAAATTCTTGGAATTTTTGATGTTTCAAAATCATTAGTTGCAATTAAAGATGATGACGATCTTTTTTAAATTAAAAAAAAATCTAAATAACACCTCTAGCGTATGAAGGTAAAATGCGAACCACCTGTTAAAGGCTGTAAAACTTATTACTAATCTGAATGTATAAATTATTATTTTCCTAATTCTCTGCTACAAAAGTAGTAGGATCTACAATAATCCTTTGCCCAACTAGAATATGCTCAAATTACTATTTATTGGCTAGCAAAGAATGTTATATATTGTTTATGCATTAAATTTTATTAATTTACATAGTATTTTGTTGATAAAAATAGAATACAGTCATATGGTATCTACAAATATCAAAACATATCCATGTTTTTAGGTGAAAAATGGCAGTCCTCTCATATACAAAAATACGATTATTGGAGTCTATACGAAAGGCAATAGCACTCAAGATTTCTGTAATGATACAGAAGTTTCTACAGTTTTTACTCCAGTGTCTTTATATATGAACTTTATTATCACAGCAATTACAGATAGAAAAGTAGATGTAGCTAACGCCCGATCTTCAAACACGTGAGTCAACCTTTGATTATCCTAATACACAAGGATTAGAATACGTAAAAAAAAATTATAACTAAAAGTTTTTATTCATTAAATTAAATTTTCACTTACTCTGCTTGACATTCATGAAACCTATTTATTAAAAAAACCTTGCACAGATACATTTCATCATAAGTGTAAAAAATAAAGAAGCCAACAGTAATTTTAGTCATATTTTGTTGGTAAACAATATACAAATATACAGTGCGAGTCATTAGTTAGTTAGAATATCGAAGGGGAAGGAGAGTTGACTAATTGTACGAGTGTCAAAATTAATTCTGCACAAGCTGAACATATTGTTTGTCACCAAAAATAATTTTTATCATACAAAGGATTGTAGAAAATTTGTCATCAAAAAAAATATGGCTGGTAAAATTGGTTGCGAGCTCCTTAAGTTTTAACGTGATCATACAAGGACTTCTTGTATAAGGCTTTTGGTGCGCATTGAACTTCAAGCAAAGAGTTGTTTCTTGTATTATTCGGGTTTGGAATTTGTGGTGTGTATACAAGCTTTGCTCGCTTGCGTTGTCCGATTCCTCGAGACGGGCTTGCTTGGAACTACTCTGTGTTTTTCGTTATATGTGGTATGAGTTGGAAATAATTTTCACGTACACCAAGTCTTTGGTAAGTTTTCTTTCCTGAAGAAAAAGTTTATCGATTGATGCAAAATAGCACAAGTGCGAAAAATTACGTGTAAATGTATTTTTCCGCCCTCGGGTGGTTTTGGGAGGTTGGTATTTCCTCGGGCAAAAAAGCAGTTTTCCGATACTCGTTCGAAAAGTCTCCTTTACGAACCTCGTTACAGACCTCACTTTAGGCTCGGGCCGCAAACCTCTCGGTTCGCAAACAGAGACTTTTCAATTTCGTAGGAAAACTACTATTTCAGTTACGTTGTAGCATTATGTGTACAAACTCGAATACTCATTGTTAATATAAAATATTATTCCAATACAAATTTTTCTTGTCAATACTAATCTGTCTTGTTGTTAGCGTGCGAACCTGACAATGCAGAGGCAAATGCCGTAG